AAACATTGAACAAAAATACATTACATTGATTTTCCTGAAAAAAAATAAAAAATAAAAATAAAATAAAAAATAAAAAAAGTTACATTTCAAGGCTTCGGTCACTTTTGACCGCGAAGGAGGCAAGTGTGACTCCTAAACGAAGAGGACCAGAGGGTTAAATACGCAAGCGGACTCGGCCTCTAATAGGCACTGAAGAGGTCAAGGACAGAGTGCTCATGGTCTTTTGTTTGCTTTGTATTGTGTGCAGCCATCGCCTTCGCTCTGTCAGGAGCGGGTAATTAGTCTTGACATGTTACAGGCCCTCATCTGGAATAATCAGAACCACCGCCGCACGTTTCCCCGCACGCCACTTTAGGGGCATTTTCTGTTATTAAGGCATGATTGTCATAAAACACTGGATGAGCCCATGTGGACGCCAGGGTGGCTTTCGAACACATGTGCTGCTATTTACAGATCGGCTTTCTCGAGCAGCACTGGGCTCATGCTCACCGGCCTAAACGCACACAGATTGGGCTACGGAGGCTGCGTCAGGCTGCCAACGTCTCGCTCGAAGCGTGATCATCGCGTCAGACGCTTCATAGCATAATGAGCGTGATTACGGCTCCTGTCAGGGGCCCCGGCCCTCCTGATGCCAACAGCTGCCAATCAGCTTGATATAACTCTCTCCTGAATAATACGGCACTGACATGCATCATAGTCTGTTTAAATCTCGGACTCTGATTCAACATCAATGGTTGCTTTTGTTTGAGGACCCAAATTTTACTGTGGCCACCAAAATCATAGAATCAAAAGAGTCTGTCCTCTCTTTGAAAAACTGATGCATCTATTGATTTTGCAGTCCAGCGATGCACCATAGAACTAGAGCGTTCTTAATTTTGTTAATGGCTCTGATAGACTGGAATAAGGATTGGAACACAATACTCTAAATGTAAATGTCTTGAATTATTAACACTTCAGTGTTTGAAAACACAATTCTTCATTAATCACAAACTCTAGAGCATGGCAATAACTGTTACTGTATCTTCTGATCACACTGATGTTTTTCCGCAGTATTTTTGTCTCGTTTCCAAACGTCTAAAGATCATTCACTTGAGAAGCAAAATGACATCAGATACGAAGTCTTGTTTTATAAGGACCATGATGAAAATTAAGTGAGTTTATGATTAAAAGAACAAATATCTGCCAACCGATTGCAATTCCCCATTGACAGATGTTTCTTAAACAAAAACTCACTTGATTTTGATCTAATTCTCAGAATACAAGACTCTGTACGTGCATTGTGCATCTGCAGTAGATGCATCTTGATTTAAGGATGTTTAGATATCTGTTCTGGAAAACAAGAGAAATCAGTGTCCTTCATCTGCGCCGTCTAGAGTCCAGGGAACAGGCAGGAGATGAAGGACGCCGAAATCTAACTACATGCAAAAGAGAGAACGAGAACGACTGAGATGTGCAAATGGAAAAACGTGAGGCCACTATTACAAGGAGAGGCAAACAAAGTGAACAAAAGACAGCGTGAAAGAGAAACAGAGGGACTAATGGGATAGTTAGTGGTTTTCTGAAGCACATGAAACATTTGAACCAATCTGATTGTTTGTGAAAGAAATCATTTTGATCAAAACTTCAATTGCTGCCAAGAACAGCTCTGCTGTGGCTCACGGTAATACAGACTGACATATACAGCGAGAGAGAGAGAGAGTTACACTTATATACACAGAAAGAGAGAGAGAGAGCGAGAGAGCCATTAAAAGTCTAAAAGTCACTAGTTTTTATAAAGTAACACTGTCCAACAGCGACACCCGCAGGTAAAGTTACAGCGGAGGCTTGCCTCCCTTCAGTCCATTGACTTTCTACAGAGACCCTAAAGTGTGCCTGACTTTTCTGGAGGCTCATTGAGATGAATGGGAGAAAATTACGCGAGAGGAGGCAACACCTCCGTTGCGCTATAATTGGATATGATCAGTTATGATTGGATGTGATTGGTTCGTGTGATAAATCCCGCCTCTTGTTTTCGTGCGAGCTCTCGGTCTGAATGAAGAAAATTAAGTAAGTAAACAACTCTCCTGCTTTGTGTCACATCAAAATGAAACATGAAATTACTTGAAAATGTGATGACTGTGTCAGTTTTTAGTGAGCATTCAGCGTGATGAAATGAAAGATGTATCTTCGTGCCTCTGACTAAGTTTACAGGGCTGTTATGACGATGACCTGAAAATAAGTTGACTATTAAAAAGAACAGCTGAACAT